ATCCCAACATATGCCTCAAAGGCCTTTGAAAATCAGACCCAAAGTGCCTACTTGAGATCTTGTTGAGAAACAACACAAGCCAACTCTTGTGAGCAAGTCTCCTGGCACAGACAACATTTTGACTATGTAAATCAGCAGACAAATCATTGTGTTTTGCCTGTAAAATGAGGGTGTTCAGACTATTCATCTGTTCACAGGCTCAGATCAAATTCTGTATTGGAGCGCGCAAGCCATACACAACCTTTACCATCTCACTGCAAAGTGATACAGTGAAAGGCAAGGCAGCATTCACTGCATCTTCAATATTAACTTATTTTTCCAAGAGGAGAACAAATTCTGACTAGTACTGGTTACCCAGATAAAAAAGGAAAACCCCTACAACTCTTTTTTTAAACGTTTTTCTAACAGATTTATCTACCTCATGTCAGGAATGATCTTGAAGAAAATTCCTGTCATATTTTGTGTCAAAAAAATGACTAATAATCATGACTTTTGAAAGTGCTTACTAGACTACTTTGTACACTTGAACATTTGCTTTTACCCTTTAGTCCAGTCTTCTATGGGAGTAAATCATACCCTTTAATTAAACATTCTTGAGTATTTGGATTTTATCTCACAGATACACCGCACCCTGCTTGTAAAAATTCCATCTCAGGCAGCCAAAGTGCCTGACTTATTCCAAAGATGAGTTATTAATTAGAATATCTATAGACCACATATTTGTAATCTGGTGCCATCCCTCCTCGGGGATCCCAAACTTTTATCTGCCAGATTACTTACCTGTAGCTGAAACAGGGCCATCGCTGCCTGGAATGTAACCCCCATCTTGTGCAACTCCTCACCACCACTTTTAAAATGAAGAATGGGAGATAGGTCCAAATGGAGGATGTTTTAAGACGTGGATGTAAACCCTTTGAAATTAATTCACCTTACTTAAAATACGAGGACTTTCCTAAAGTCCCCATTTACTCCATCTTGCTCCATTCAGGGAAATGCTCACTCTAGTCGTGAACTCCTGTAAACGTGGAGGTGCCAGCATGATGCTAACAAGCACGATTTCACTCCCTAAAGTGGTCTTAGTTTTCACCCACACCTGGCACGGCATGCAGATTCGTAACACCCAATGCCAGCTGGGGCACCAGCCCCATTCTGGCTCAGAGTGGGGAGTACCCTGGTCTGAAATCACCAAAGGCAATAACAACATGCAAAATACAAGGCAAGAGGTAAAATACAAGCCAAGGGGTAAAAGCTGGTGCCAGCCATGAGCTCAGCAGCACCACTCGCTGGCACCGCTCACTTGCCAATCTTCTGCAGCATTTTTAGCTCGCTAGGTGCACCAGCTCATCCCACTCTCAAAACGTTTAGCAATCGAGAACAGCGATAGCTTGGGGCTGCCACAGCAGCCAAACACCCAAACAGGCAAAGACGAAATACGGGAGAGAGGAATATTGCATTACCAGGCTCATTAGCCCTCACAGGCAACTTGAAGGGCTCAAAACCGTATCAATCCTAAGTGCAGAAGGGAGGCTGCAGCCATCCCACAGAAGGAAATCCATAGGAAGTCCTGCTGGCATGAAGTACGGCTGGGAGACAGCCTCCAGGATGACGGAGACAGTCCCAGGCAGATGATGGAGAGATGTTAAGAAGCAAGGGGCACCTTCCAGCACCACACTGGGGTAAGACTCTGCCTCCGCAGGCAGCTGCCAGCGCCCGCCAGGCATGCCCCTCCGGTGGGTCAGCATAAACCCTCAGGTTTGGGAGAGGACAGTGATCTCATACGCTGGCGGGCATTGAGCATGCTGCTGGGTCCCAGTGCAAAGCTCTTCAGCTTTACATGCAGCCCTCTCCAGCTCCAGAGAAAAGTTACCACCCTGGAGGAGCTACTAAAGCCAAGGAAGAAATTGGTCTCCAATCCTGGATTTCACATCACACCCATAAGAGACTCCTGCCCTCCTATACCACTGGTCTCCTCATCCAGTGCACTTGCTCAGAAACCTTTGATTCCTGGACCCTTCCACCTTCTACAAGAAGAGATGGAGCAGCAGCAAGGGAGCTGGCATTGCCTGGAGAAAAAAATAAACATGCTCCGGCTGCAGAGAAAGCAACATCCTGGCAATTATGCTGGGGAACTGTGCCATGAGCAGTGGATGCTTTCTGGATTTACTTCTCCTCTGCCTCAGCATGCCCTACAGATATGAGGAGGTATTAGTGTGAGAAAATCTCCTGGTTTGGGAAGCAGGATGCTAGTGAGACAGGGTTTGAAATGGAGAATGGAGCAAGAGACCTCCTCTGCGTTCTCCTCTTGTTGAAGGCAAAGGGGAAGAGCTTCAACAAAAGAAGAATTTAAGCAAGCTCCCCCAAAGCAGCAACACAAGAAAGACCTGACTGCCCGTATGGGACAAAAAAATAACATAGAAGGGTAGTGGAAGAGTGTGGGAGACCTCGGCTGGTCCGAGGGATCAGAATACAAGTTTAACATTGACCCTGAGCAGATACCCATGTACCCTTGAAGAGACTGGAGAATCCTGAGAAGATCTGAGCAAACAAGATAAGGGTTGGTAAACATCCTGTCTTTGGCCAGAGCATGAGCAGCGCATTATCAACAACTGTATTGGCTGGATGGCGTGTGATGTGAGAGCGGATTGGGCAAAAGTAGAATGGAAGAATCCAGGTAAAAGGATATAAAAGAGCACTGCTTGTAAAATAAAATATACAATTGCTGCAACTGGATATTCAGTGTCGTGTCCGTCTCTACAACGACAGAAGAGGTCAGAGCCATTTTATGGTGGGTTTCACTGAGTCAACACAATTGAGAACACTGGGAAAAATTAGAGGTAAAAGCTTGATCCAAAATCTCACACCTGAAGACATTCAGATACTGTCTGAGCTTACACCTGGGTGTGAACTTTGAAGCTTGGGCTCCTTTCTGTATAACATAGTGGACTGAATCAAACCTACAACACCCGCAGCATCTGGAAATATGTAGACTCAGAGATGCATTTTACAGTTTTTGTCAGTCATCAGTGTATCAGGAATTACTCCCTAGATTTCCTCCTCCTCCTCCTCCTTTCATTTATTTATAAGTACTTTTGTTTTAAAGTACTTATTTGTAAGTACTTACTATTTCTCTTATAAAAAGTATTTATAAGTACTTTCTTTCTTTTTTGGAAGTACTTCTCATCCATCCTTCCAACTCTGGTCTCAGTCAGAAGCTTTTAAGTATTTCCTCAAACAGATAACCCTGGCCAGGATGGCAGTGTCAGCATGGAGAAGCTTTTTCTGGCCCTCTTTATGTTTCTGTTCTTTTTGGAGAAAAGGATGTTCGGCTTGTAATAGAAGGACTGAAAAATACATTAATCTTTATTAAACCGGTAGAGCCTATTGACAGGGCTAGGACTGGCTGCTTCCTCCCCTCTCCCTTCATGCCCTTCCGCAGTTTTCTCTCCTCTCCTATTTTCTGACACTTGTTTGTGTTTGGAAGCAGCATGCTCACTCCCGACAGACCGGGACAGGGGATGAGAGGGGAAACGTCTGGACACATTTAGTCCAATTAAATGTTGGCATCACATTCAGTCTTTCCAAAAAGCACGTAGGAAACTTTAAATGCCAGGCTGGCCGCTGTGAATTGATGCCTCCCCGTTTACATTTCCTTGCATCAAGCCACAAACAGAGTAGGTATTAATTGTCATCAAGCATGTCTGCCACAAATCCCTCTTTAATATCATTCACAAATGTTCTGCTAAAACCTTTCGTCTTTCAGCAGATCACTTCCATAATCCCATGCCACTGATGAGTTTTGGCAGAGCTAAAGAGCAAACCGTGTTTGCTGCTGACAGCTCCCCTCACTTTCCTTTTACAGCTGCCGCAGCAGCACACAAGTTCTGTAGTGGCATTCCCTGCCCAATGTCATCTCAAACTCGCATCGTTCCTTCGAACGACGTGTTTGCTAACAGGGTTTTGCAGCAAACAAACAAGCGCGCATGAGCCCTGCACGTGTGGTCTGTACATCATCTTGAGCCATCCGGTCTTTCAACGAGCCGCTGCTCCTACAGGAAGAGTTGTGGCATAAACCCAAGCAGCGTCAGCGCCTCCCTCCCTCCCTCCCACACAGTGCCCTGACACCCGTGGGTCCCGCTGCATCAGGGCAGTGATAAAACCTGGGCTCCACTGCGCAGGGGGTCGCAACCCCAACAGAAAGCACGGAAAGTTTAACTTCTAGGTGAGAAAGAAGCAGCTGAGGAGGGGCAGGCAGAGTTGGCACTCTCCCGCTACTTTTTCTTTTTTTTGTTTTAAACAACTGAATCTTGTTCTTCCCACTCCTGAGAAAAGTCCTTTAAAAATGAATGAGACTAGTCATATAAATGAATTAAGGGTCAGTTTACAGTGTTATTAAATTAAATGCTTTATATACAGTAACTGAAGAGTTTGGTAGAATTCATGAAACTAAATTCAGACCTCAGATGCTTTCCAGAGCGGCTGGAAGGGTTTAAGGAACTAAACAGAAGAAACTCAAAAAGCCTTGCTTTGCCCGGCATTCACTGCAACATCCAAACCAGTGACATACTTCCACGTTACTGCTACAGCTCTGCCCTCCGACATGTATTTACAGCTCTGATTAATCCAACCACAAGTTAAGGACTAAGTGTACTGAGGCACGTCCCCAGCTGATTTCAGTATAAACTGCATGTCTGGAATCTGACTGCACAGATAGGTCCACGGTCACCGCTTGCCAGCTGAACACTTGCTAAGTTGTACATGGACAGAGCAGCAATCCGCTTGTGCCGTATTCACGTTGCTAAGAGCAAGTGGACGTTCTTGCCTTGTTTTTAATACAGGCAAAGGTCCATCCAGTTTAAAATACACTCTAAGGTGCGCTCACGGGCAGTAATCTTTGAGGACAGGAAAAATCTCTTGTCGCTTTTCAGTTTTGGAGAAGAAAGGGTGCTGACCACAGAGAGCCGAGATAAACAACCTGTGCTTCTCATTACACGTTTTGGTACCTGCACAATAGGGTGGCCCCCCGCAGACGCCTTCACAGCCCCTCGACTGCCTTCCGTCTCGTAATGAGCTCGGTGGTGGGATTTCGGCTGCACTTCAATACGCAGTTCATAAGGTCCTGAGTGAGATGGCAGCTGCCAATCAAGGGCAGGCAGGGATGGGCTATAATGGAAAGGAAAATGTATTAAAAATTAACATCAAGTACACTATCACAGACCACAAGCATCCAGCACTATTACTTTAGAGACCGTGTTTCGCAGTTCATCCTTCACCATCTTACATTTAAAATTTCATCAATATGGATAATGCCATGACATAAGTAATTTAGAAGGTAATGGTTATTTTATGAAGATTTATGGGTCGAGCATGTCTGATGGCTCAGATGTTATCTGATTTGTAGACAAAATGGAAAAATGTTAAGACACAGCTAACAAATATCTTAATATATTGATTCTTGAACCAAAAGGAGAAAGGTAGGCCGAAAGACGCAGAGGAGTTTAAGGAAGAGGATTTCTGCTGTGAAAGCGAATGCCAAACCAGCTCTGGAGGAGTTCTGCATTTTATGAATCTAATGGATTTCAACAAATCTGGTCCGTTTACAGGGGGTAGAAAGAAGAAAAAAAGCCCTTTCCCAGCTTCCTTCCCAACACAACACACACCAGAGTCTCAAAGCGAAGTCAATCTCTTTCTGGTTCATGTACTGCAAGGGAGCAAACTCTGAAGTCAGAACTTGCTTACAAATCCTACTAATGATGACGCACAAGCCAGAAGAAAATCCAG